CTTCACGGTGGTATAAATGTTATCGAGGCATGAAATGCGGGAGTTTCATTCATACCTGCAAGACAGGGTTTAAGCCGTAGCCAATTAGAGAAGCTAAATTTGTGCATCCGTGGATGTAGTTAAGCTTTCCCGCTCAATAGGTTTCATGCATTCACTCTGACTGGTTGACTCTTATACCAAGTTGGCATCGAAAACTTCGAACTTCATGCCCAAACCCCTAAACCAGTTTTTGTGACACAGCAAGGTCTGGTTACTTAGCAACAAAGCTTGGCTTAAACCAGTTTTGACATTTATACAACCATATGAATGGAACCTTATTGACCAGTAAAGTAGATATATACCTAAATTGAAATTATTTAGCTAAACATGATTATTATAATTGGCAGTAATTTTGCATCTATTTATAATTTAGATTACACTATTACTGTGATAATTAAACTCCTTTCTCTCATTCTGCAATGTCATTTATCAAAATACGATTATAAGAACCTGCCAAAAATATAGTAAAAAGAAGGGATCTTATTGTTTTTCACAATTGATGTTATTTATCACTTTTACCTGGTTCGTACACATTTCTGCACACGGAAATTAAGCACTTTTAAGGACCATTAATGAAAAAAATTAAGGACTTATGAGCAAATGGGAACTGAATAAATTCAATTGAAGATATTATCTATGCCTGAATTTCACTTTTGTTATACCATCCTAAAAATAAAATAGATCCCTAAGTAGTATACATTATTGCTAAACATGAATTAATTAACATAATTGTGAATAGTTGAGAATAAATAATTTTAGCAATTTATCAAGTAGCATTAAATATTTTTCACTTATAATAATTGGGTCATATTTGAAAGAAGATAAGTGACATTTACGTTTTACTAACAATTAGCGTTATGTTGATTTTTTTTATGTCTTATTTTGTCACATACTTGGTCAGTCTGGAGGTTTAGTAAATAAGCAGGTAGATTTTTATGTCAAACTGCATAGGTTAAAATAAGAAGTAAAATCAAGCATCATAATCAGCATGATTCATAACAAAAGACTGAATGTTGTCACCACTGCTGCTTGTCTAGAGAGAGACCCGCTGATTAGAACAAACATGAAAAGCCTGATGTAAGCAAGGTTGGCAAGTGTTAAAAGTTAGTCAGGCTCTGTTTGATATAGTTAGTGTCATAGCTTCGTGTACAGTTCCAGGGGTTGTAACCCAGTTAATATACTTTAAGGTTCCAATAAGCCATTAAAGCACCAGAAGTGATATTTTTTTTTTTTGTATTAAGTCTCAGTAGATGCATTAGAATATGTTTTACTTGAATTTTTACATTTTTATATTTTATCTTGTGACCACAGTGAGTATTAATGAAAGGCAATAACTCAATGTAGAGATAATTTTTAAGAGTAATCAGTTAGCTATATAATTAATTAAATTAGGTAGTTTGATAACCTGTCATTATGGATTACATGACCACTATTAATTTTATTTTTTAACAATATTGTTAAAAAAGCCCTATTAAAATCAAAATCTAATAAATTTCACAGTTTAAAATGCATGTAATTTATGACACAGATTTTTTAAACGATATTAAGATAAGTACACATTAAAGCTACAAACATGTATGTTTTGTAACGTTTATATCGATTTCCCTTTTCTTTTAAGTCTTTTCTAACAATTAGAGATTTGTTTCACTATGCAAACCAATGCTCTCGCTAGTTTCTGCATGCTTTATCTCTCCTTGTCAACCTCTCCATAATGTACCAATGAGGGTTTAATTGATCTGGTAAAAGTTAAATAGTCCAAAACCCCCAACAGATGTGAAGCATATTATCGGTCTAAAATTAACTACAATATCAGACAAAGGTTTAACTAAGCCTCTTATTTAAAAAGAACTTAGAACAAACATAAAGGCATGTTCTGAGGTTAACAAAATCAATTACAGCTCACGGTGATGTAATTAAACAAGAACAGTCAAATTCAAACTAATAATGTGGACTAGTGGTCAAGATTATACAATTTAATTTAAATAATCTGGCTCAATAACTCTATCATAAGAGGAAATAGAAATGGGAAATTAGTAAAGGTTGAAATCCTAAACAATTGGGTAATTTACATAATAATGCACCATATCTTGAAGAATTCCTTTACATACTCAGTTTCTTTTTTTCCCACGTTCCTTTTCATTTAGAATTTTTGGATTTAATTTGGATTTGTTATTCTAAAAAACACTAAATGCATTTAGAATGTACAGAAAATCGGTTCCTATGACTAAGAAATAAAATAATTTTATTTCTTTAGTCATATGAAATTCAGAAACAATATAAATATATAGTAGTAAGGCCAGTGAGCTGATGTGGCAGAATTTCTAGAATTTAGTAACACACTGAACAACAAAATCTAGAAATGGCAAAACTTTTAGAATTTAGAGCAAGCACTGGAAGCAGAATTTAGGTTCCACAGAAATTGCATCAAGTGGGAAAATGCCTAGTGCCAGCTATGTGTATGATGCATTAAGAAATATTAGATGAATCTTTTAAATTGTAAGTTTTCAATTTCTTTATTAATAAAAAAATCCCTGTCTATAATGCCTGCCCATGTGATAAGATCAGAAGCATTTTTGGTATTTTCCATGCTTCTGTCTAGTGAAAAGTAGAGAAAATAAAGAGAAGATAAACATGTTAAGATTCTATTATCAGAAGTAATACATTCAAATATTATGATTTTAATGTTCTTCCAGATGTTCTCCAAAAATTAAGAAATTCATTGCAAACTTTCTGTAAAATACACCCATTACATGTTGATACCATGGAGACATTTTTCATTTTGTCACATATTTCTAGAATCGTGGGTCTATAAATCTTGCCTTCAAATCCTTCTAAACTTTCCAAGCTAAAATCCTAAAGAAAAATTATCCCTACCAATTCTGTAACCACAAAATGCCAGAATATTTTGGAAACAAAAAAGAAGAGAAAAGTGTAATTAATTTTATAGAGAAAACTCATGCATTTTGAGAACTATACTGAGAAACTCTGACTGAGACAATACATGGGAAAAACCCTTACTTTGAAAAATATTAAAAAGACGACATTTTTAATTAATTACATAGCTAATTTTTCTTTTGCTAAGCCGTTCGTTAAATTGTGCTTTTAGCATTATCCCCTTGTTTATTTTTTTAAATATTGTATATTGCCATGAAACTTTTCTCACAGAAATAAAAATGTTTTATTTTCCTGTTATTTTCTAAATTTCAATATATTAGCATTATTTTATCATTATCATATTATGATGTTTTAAAAAAAATCGTAGAAAAATTCTCCGATTTGGAATTAAAAAGTTTCTATAGAAACTAATCTTAAAATCGCCAATGTTGAAAAAGTCGCCAAATTTAGAAACCACTTAATAAAAGAATTCACATCCCCAAGCGAAAAGTTGTTTAAGAGCTCTTTACTAGAAAAAATGAATTTCGAAATGCTTATGTTTCACTTCTTGCTTAGAAACTCACGATCCCCATCATTTATATTAGTAGAAACAAATTAGAACTCATGACCCCCCTTCAAAGATAACCATATATACGTCAGTGAATCGGCAAAAATATTCCTCAAAATGCTAATCCACACTGAAAATGACAGTAAAAACAGGCAGAGATTTCAGATGATTTTAGGACCTTCTGATGATTTTGGCCAATTAAGGACTTTTATTCGGTTAAAAAATCGTTCCAAATTATTAGCACTTTTAAGGACTCTTCGGTCGTACGAACCTGTTACGTAATTTCAGCTAGTACGCATAGTGCCATCACAATTTCAGCATTTACATCATTAGCAACTTATGAGTCACATTTAAACCTTTTTGCATGCTGTTAGCTTACAGAATCACCAAGCTAAGTTAATGTCAGTAAACTGTTGCTAGCTCATTTTGCCCTATTACTTTCACTTAAAAAAAAAGAAACATTTTTGTCTTTTACCCTAGTGTTTCCAGATATCAGATCAATATTTTAAATGCAATGTTGAAAATATAAAAAAAAAATCTTGGTGATTGAAATACTACACTGTGTAACCAGAAGCATATTATTTTTCAAAACAATCTATTAAAGTAAACTCTAAAAAATTAATAGACAAAGTGGTTTGAAAATAAATGCTGGAAAAGAAAAAAATAAAAAAAAAATTTTGTTTTTTATTTGACCCTTCACAGAGAAAAAATATTATTTGTTAAAATAAGACAATAAAATCCTTCCACAATTTATGACTTCTATTAACAGTAAATGCAAAAATTTTTCATTTGTGATTGCAATTCAAATTTGTTAATATATGATAGAGGATGCACATGTAAATCCTTTGCCGGATGAGTTTCATCACCTTGTTTCGCAAATGAATTAAAAATTTAATAATAATTACATTCCAGAAGAAGGCAATTAAACATAGCAAGTTAAAATCCCAATTTAAAATGCATTTTCAGATCAGATTTAGTGTTTAAGACTATTTTGTATATACTACATTTAAAAATTCTAGTAGTTGATTCTGTTTCTAGAGAAAATTACTTAATGAAATGGAATGCTGTTCCTGAATATTTGAATATGAGTATTTACTTCCTGAAATGTATCTATTCTATCTCAATAGTATACATTTTCTCACTCCCATCTGTCTGTTTCATTAAACTTTTATAACATATTATCAACTATTTCTACTTAAATTGCATATGTATTTCTTATTGATTAAAACTAATTTATCGTTAGCTTTTACTTCTATATTTTGTTTAATTTCAATTATTTAACATTGATTATTTTAGTTGCACATTACTGCTGATTTTGGCCAAAATTAAGGACTCTTAAGGACTGTACGAATCTTGTTTTTATGGCTTTATCTTTTGTTTTGCATTTGAATATTCTATTTGTAAAATTACTGAAAATATCGAAAGTGTATTCTTAAAGATCTAGTAAAAGCCAGGGTCTTTGTATTTATTTTTTTTAATTTATTAATTTTTAACTTATTTTTAAATTTATTTTTTTCAGGAACTCTTTGAATATAAGAAGCAAAAGATGGCAGAGAAACCTAAGTGGGATTGACATTGTTTGCTGTATACGAGTTTCCAGATTCTAGTCACTATATTAGCAGCCATTTAATATGATGTTTGATTAGTTGAGTAAATAATGCTTGTGATTTTTTTTCTCTCTAGAATGCCTCTAAAATCACAATAGTAGATCTTATGAAATTTTTATCATGCTATAGAAGTATGACACATTTAAAATTTTTTAAACTGCATAAAATATGAATTCGAATTTCAAATTTGCACTCCTCACAAAAGTCATGATATACTTTCAGAATTCATATTGAAAGTAACCATTTGAATTTTAAAGTTTTGATTTGCCTTGTTTGAAATATGGCAAAACACTTGAGGGCTATCTGCTTAAGGGAAAGAATGCCTTCATGGAGGGCTTTAAGGGAAACTGGCTGATTAACATGTTACATATAGGAAAAACCGCAAAAACACCCATGCAGTCTGTTTGGTGAGATTTGATCCGCAGACCAAACTACCAGCATTCAATGACTTTCACTTAGCTGTTGATGGGACTTTGAATTTGAAAGATGCATTTATTAACTTTAATAATATATTGCTGAAGGGATGTCAGCTGAAGTAGTAGAATTCTTTTATAGAGACAACAGGCACATTCTTACACAACTCATGGGAAAAACAACAAAAACACTTGCAGTCAATTTTTACTTAGGTATTGGATTTAAAACAAACTGCTAATGTTCTACAGCTTCAACCACAGATAGACCTTTTTCTTAAATTCACCCAACCACTACTCAGTAAATTATCAGTTCTATCATTTCATATCCCATCAGGAAAATTTTAAATGCTACAAGACCTAGGAGCTTTGCAAGTGAATGTCATGATACATATTTTATTTGGACGCAGTTTTTTGAGGATCACTAAACTATTTCTTTTAATGAATCTGATAAACATTATACACGACAAGAAATTGTTTATATTTTAAAAAGTAGCATGTTAGTGTAAATAAAAAATTTTAGCTATACATGATTATTTTTATAAATATTAACTTTATTTAAAATTTCATACACTGCTAATTTTGAATAAAATAAAAAAAATTGGCAAGGATACTAAAATATCTAGGGTACATCTGCATAATGCTAAAAAAGTAAAAGAATGGTTATACTGAATTTTCATTCAATTTATAAAAACAGTGTTAGCAATATTTTTCTTGTTTCATTACCATATCAAAACAATACTCTTAAAATAAAAACTTTCTATAAATCACATTTTTTTTCACATTTTATGGGGTCATAATATGCTGTATTAACTTTTCATGCAAATATACAACATTCAAACTCATCCAATGAATAAATATATACACACTATGCTGGATAAATAACTCTGCAGACTGGATAAATTTGTCCAGTCATAACATGGACAAAAATGAGCAATCTCTAACAAAAGTAAAATCAAATTCAATCATATCCTTCACAAATCGGAAGGGGAAAATCTGCATTTTGTACATAAATTATGAACATTCATTTTGTATTATTCTACCATTCAAATTTGCATTATCCATTATAATACTTCATATCTCTCCACACTTAAATAGAAAATAAGAAATACATAAATTTGCATTAAACAAAATATCCAGGAAAACATATTACAAAAGTGATGGACATAAAGAAATTAAACACACATATAAAGTCTCAGCAATATTAAATTATCTTTTGTAATTTAATAATGAGAAAAATGTGATGAAAACTAAATAAATATTTGCTAAGAATTACATATCATAATATATTTGCACTATATCACATATAAAAAAAGCGCAGTCACAAAGAATTCCATTAATTACCAACTGGCATTTTATATTTTCTTATGAAATTGCATTTTATCTCAGTATTCATACCACAATTAACAGACTGAATTTATTTTTTTAATTACTGTCTTTTATAATTCACAAAAATATAGGAAATAAAATTTATTAAATAACTGGAGTTTCGCTGTTTTATTGAAAAAATATAGATAACATACATGAAGCCATTTACAGTATGTTTCACAATAACTTTCATGTATCAAAAAAACTATTTTACATCATTGCTTAGTAATATTCTCATTTTGCAAATAAACTGTTTACACCTCATGTTAACATTGGTTAAAAAAAATATTCACTTAATAATGCATCTTTAGCTTTTATAATCATTTTGGATTAATTTCAGATTTCTTGATGAATGAATTCAGTAAACAAATACATGGTTTTACTTACTAATAAAGTTTAGCACCAAAACTTTGGAATGCAGATTTCTAATCTTATATTCAGGCACAGAATAAAAAAGCAACAATATATAAAAATTCAGATTAGATTTTTGATACATACATTGAAATTTAAGATATAATTAAAATTTATCAGTAAACCAATTATTTCTAAAAGGAAAAAAAAAGTTTTAATGCCATTTAAAACACATGGAAACTTAGTAGCTATAAATGTAGTTATGAATTATATAGGGTGATTTTTTTTGGTACTAGACCCAAGAAATTATTCATTAAATATTAAACATACGTATCTTACGTAATGAGAAACACATTAGTACTAAAGATGCTGGATATATTAAACACAACTCTCTAGACACAGCCAACCATGACACTTTATGGCATTCTTTTTCCATTTTTTAGTGCGAATATGCATGCATGAGATGGCTCCAACAGTGTCTTTTTTTGTAATAACATCATGGCTTTCCCTTATCTTCTTCCAATGTCTCACATTCCTTTGACACGGATTTTGTACATATACATTTCATAACTTACTGAATAACAGCATTTTGTTTAGTAACTAAAGAATCACCCTATATTTATTTCAAAACTATCACTGTGAAACGTCATTATATTTTTGTCAGTCGTGTTCATGGCTTCATACTCTTTCCAACTTTATATGATATCCAAGTTTCTCATCTATAAGTACACTTTTTTTCTTCTTCGGTAACATTCTTATGAAAATGTCAGGAAATGCAAATTTTTCATCAATGTTTATATATCACAACAATGTTAAATTTAAATGGTTTGTTTTAAAGGATGGATGAAATTTTTTTTTTTAATTAAATGCTAAAAGAATTGATAGAATACAGTTTGAGAGAAAAAACTTCCTCTAACTTTGAAAAAGTAAAATACAAATATCTCGTTTTGAGATTACTCACCATTTGTGCTCTAGATGTTCTGTGTTTCACGAAGTTTATGAATGATATTGCATTTTTTAGCATTAAATTTAGTGCTATTAATGTTTAATAAATTGTATCAAAATTTTATACATTTTTAGTATTATTTATTACTCTAATTACGAAAGAAAAATACTAAAGAAATAATTTATGTCACACTGATGTTAAAAAAGAAAAAAAAAAAATGTTAGACCTAAAATGAGATCATAAGATGAACATATAAGGTATTTCTCCCACTTCCCTAGCGTGCCTTCGTGGTGTAACGGTAGCACGCTGGGCCGGTATTGCAGAGGTCCGTGGTTCGATTCCCAGCGAAGGCAGTTGCATATCTATCATCTATTCTGCTTCCAATTAACCTAATGACTCTACAAGTGGCACCCGAACTAAAAAGGGTTGTGGATGATGATTCTCCGCATCCAGGATTTCGCGACTAGGACCCCTAAAACCTTAGTCACCCTTTAAAAAGGGGAGTATATAAAGTATTTCTCCCACTTCTCTCGCGTGCCTTCGTGGTGTAATGGTAGCATGCTGGGCTGGTATTCCAGAGGTCCGTGGTTCGATTCCCGGCGAAGGCATTAGCGTATTTTTCATTTTTTCTGCTTCCAATTAACCTAATGACTCTACAAACACACGTAAGAAATCGGAGATTACACAGTGGATAAATGCTTTTCAAGCAACATATTACCTCAGGAAATCTCGTGAAAATTCTGTAGTGTATTAATAACAAGAAATTATTCTTAAACTACAATTAAACTTCTTTTCCATAATATTTTAGTTACACATAAAAAAATTTAATTGAATAGAGAAACATAAAAGACCCTGCAAATTAAAGCTTTTATATCTTAACCATAAAGGATGGTACTAAAAATAAGTGCATAACAGAATACGTAGTATTAACCCTTCAAATCATGGGTCTCAGCATGAGTCATTGATAACACTAAACACTATTTGTTAACACATAGAAATGTGACAAAATATAACTGATAAATTGTGTGATAAGATATACCCAACATTAAATAAAGTGTCTATACATTGCATTATACATTATAGCACACAGTGTTCTCTCTTGGACAAATAAAAGATTCAATATTTTAGACTAAATTTGAAGATATAATATGGCAAAGAAAAAATGCAATTGTTTTATCAGGTACAGTTTCAAGGGGTGGAAAAGAGAAATTATGCTTCCAAATCAAAGCACTTCAAAAGCAATTAAATATTATTGTAATTCATACAAATGTATTTGTATTTATGATCCAGTCTAGAGTTGGACGATTCCATTATGGACCCGATTCCAGAAAATAAAAAGTTGTAGCTTATTGACAGCTCTTGTTAAAAGCAAGCTAGAAATAGAGATCTGCTGTTAGTTCATGAACTGATTTATTTTACTGAGCAAGTGAATGAAAAGAACTAAATAAATTGAAAGTGTACCAGTTTCCCATTTTAGAAGAGAAAAGAATATTTATTTTCCCATGTTAAAAATGAGTTTATTCAACTTTTTCAAAATTTTTATTCTAGAATTTTATTATTAGTTCTGTGCAGAAAGGGAGTTTTCAGGAATCTCAAAACTACAGCTCTAAGAAACCAGTTAAGAAAATCAGTGTTTGATCGAGTCAAATTTCCAATCTTGCAGCTTGTTCTATTCTTTTGGCTCTTCATTCCAACCTCACTAACTGGCCTCAACCCCATTGCTCATTCGATCTTTCTTCTCTTCACTCTATCCTCACTAACCATTCTTGATTATTTTCATCAAGGTTACTGTTAGTGATTGGTCAGTCACAAAAACAAAGTGAACCAATTTATTTCAGCGAGCAAGATATGATCCCATTAAACAGCTCATTTCTATTCAATACTGTAATCTGAGGATTTGGGATGCTCTATTTAACAATGTTACGAGGCCCCCACCAGTAGAGTGGTTATGACCACTGAATACTGGGAGTATGATTTCAGGCAAATGGGTTGGTTGCATGGTTGTATTTTTCCTCTAAATGTAACAGGAATGAGAGCCAGTTTCACTTAGAAAGTGCTGTACAAAGATATCCCTTCCCTTAGGCAGACAGCTGCTATACGTTTACGACTTTCAAATAACCTAACCTCAGAAATGATGTGTTGCACGTAATGTAAAATGAAATACATTATTACATAGGAGACTGGAAAATTAACTTAATTCCTCTTAGCTTTCAATAAAAAACACTGAATTATAAAGTTATTTCATGAAATAATTTATATGAAATATTTTTACATAAAATCATCAGTGACATCTATTACAGTGAAAAAATTAGAAGTTAATTTCGTAACAGGTTTTGGAGAGCCTACAGCTTTGTAAAATGAGTTCTGAATATTATGGCTCATTCTCATTAGGAGCACACAGGTAATTTATGAACTAAATATTTAAAATATATAAGGCATTTTATATTGCATATGCAGAGGAGGTGATTATGTATATCAATAAGTATCCAATTTGTTAACCATTAATGATTAAAATGACTAACAACTGAATGAATGTACAAAATGCTTTACAAAATCTACTAATACAAGAAGGCAATAATTACATTTTAATAATTTCAAATGCAATTTTATACAGTTATACCATATAAAAATATCTACTTACATTATTAAAACATTTTAAAATTCATAATCCAGATTATTTAAGTTAAAAAATTAGTTATTTAAAGCACAAACATATAAAAATAAATGAAATTTTGCAAATTTTTTATCATATGCATTAGAAGGCTATATAATTAGTATAAAATGTTTAAAAAAACTATGCTCCATAAATGCCAGTTGAAAAACCACTGTACAACACATAAAAATTAGGAAATCAAAATATGCACACATAATAAATAAAAAATAGTATGAAAGTATGATTAAAAGAAAAAAAAAATGAAATACACAGAATTTACTAAAAAATTGCAAATACTACAATAAGATGCTTAGTTAAAATTAATATACTATCATGATTTTTAACAGTACTGCAAATATATAATAAAATTTCATACTTATTTATTACATTAACTCCAAATTTATGATTTAGGTATTTTAAATTTTGTAACTGGTTAAATTACATTTATAATATTAGTTAGTGAACTGCAAAAGAAGCAGTCCAATCTGAACATATTATTTGATCTTGATTTTTTAATTAGAAAGCTCAAGGCATTTTCAAGGACAACAGAAAAGAAATTATTCCTACAAAACAGAGACTACATTACTTCCTCTTAAAATGTACTGAACTTTCTCATTTTTGTCATAAATACCAAACGTTGTTTGATTTTTACCAACAGATCACTAAGGGAAATATATGACAGCAACATTCAATTACAGTTCAGATATGCAGATGGCAACCGGATATAGTATATTTTTCCATATTACAGTTTATTACCCCCATTTTATACAGTATTTACTCACATACCTTTCCTCCCTTTTTTAGTAATTTTATCGTATTAAAATCGAGAATAATTTATTTTCTGATAGGCAGGGTTATTGCAAGAACATAATAAATTAAAAGTATTCAAAAATAAACTACTGGTAACTATCACATTATTATTCACAAAAAAGAAACCTATATTCCAATAAGAATATATACTAATACCAACATTACACTACCTAATAAGCTATCTTCATTCCAGTTCTCTGTATCTAGAATCTTACTCGCTTTTATTGTTGTCCACTGCTGCTTTTAGCCTCAAATCATTCAGTTATCATTCTTAGAACTATTGTCTGTGTTGTTTTGCTATAGCTTCATTATGATCGTTTTCATCATCTTAGTAACCCATTCAGATCTTCTCATATGCAATGATCTTTAAAATAATCATCCCCTTGATAGCATTGTATATCTCCATTTTCTTAAAGCTCTTCACTAGTACTGCTTCATGAATCAGAGCACTCAATATCCATAATTAAATGATTTCAATGAAAAGTCTCTGGATTTTTCCAATTCTAATAAAATTATGTGATCCTGCAAAATTTACTTGTTATAAAACTTTTAGAGACAGTCTTTAAATGGTTTATTCACCAATCTCTATTGTTTGCAGAAGTGAAGCAAATCCTCTTGGAATGATGACAGGAACTGTGTTTGTTCTGTTATTTTTTTAACACATTCCATGAGATGCCTGCAGATACTATCCCACAGCAGCAGTGGCTTTTTAAGTATTAGAAAAACCCTCATATAGTTGATGGCCAATAAGTTCACACAATTTCAATCAACTCTTTCATATCCAGATTTCTAATAGGTAACCAATGTTAGCGAGTTGAAAGGGGAAGGTTTGGCAAGACCTCTGCAGGTAGTTTGTGGGGTTTGCTTTTATTAATAAGACAAAAATAACCACTACATGGACAAATCCTTTTCATATCTAGGGAATCTTGCTTCATAAATGCCTTGAAGAAGGGGGAAATTATGTGAATATTTGAAAAATTTTCAGAACCTTGCACTTTTTAGGAGGAAAAATATACAAGTAAATATGATACTTCAATATTACATTTCATTACTCCAACATCATATCAAAAAATTTCAAAAAAGAAATTAATTGTAAAAAAGATTTCTTTTTTTAAATTCTTTAAAAAGACAACAGATCAATGAAAAAATATTATAAAATGGTTACTATCATTTAATTAAAAACACTATTTGAAAGGTGATAGTTGAACTAAAACAACAAAATATCAAAAAATTAAATTAAATAATTTAGAGCTTCCTCAATAATTAGAAAGGAAGCACGTAAAAATTACTAAGGATATTAACTGATCATAACTTCAATATGAATTGATAGATTTGTAACAATTTTAACAATTTTCTGACAGTGAGCAAGTCACAGATTATTCATATATACTTTAACTCAAACATGATACAAAGAATCTCTAAGCATGTAAAATTTTTCTTGAGACTAATTCTAGGATAATACATAATAATTCTACAACTGAATATCACAAGTCAACAGTTTTAACACAATATAAAATTTCATGATAGATAAATGAATATAGTATTTTGTACAAATGAATGAAAGCATATCTTTGGATTACAGCAGTGAAAACCCCTTTCTTTTATTTCATCAAAAACACATACATATACACGTACACACGAGAGAAAAGTGATTGGCATTTGAACTTTGCATTTAAATGCCATTGTACTTTAAATAAAATTGTCAATTAAACTAAAAGGGTGATGTGCATAGTTCAAAAAATGATAGCATTAAAAATGGAATATATATGAAAGTGCAACAGTTCCTATAGACAGGTAGATTATCTGCCCTAGCAGGTATTACTTTGTGATTAACAAATAGGGACAGCTTCAAGTTATTCACAATCTTAACAAAACTAAATCCAACTTCAGTTACTGAAGTTTTGCTTAGGCACAGTCTTCACATGAATGCTGGCACATAATATCCTCCAGCATATTTTACATTAATCTGGTTTCTATACAAATATGCTCATGTACAATGAGAACGGACAGAACAGATTTTTTTACATTAGTCTAATCTCATGAGAATTTTATTCACAAAGGCTTAAGGTCACACTGCTCTTGAAACAGGTCGTCTTGATCGAGCCAGATTGTATGATACAAGCTTCTGAAAAATTAAGACGATTTACAACCACAAATGTATTAAAAAAATATGAATTGCATTGGAAGTGAAGAAATCAATAAATATTTCACACCTCTCAACATGACTTCAACTGCAACTACAATATTGGTCAAAGTTCCAAAAGAAGAATAGTGATTTTATCATTAAGTTTCTTTCACTCTGAAGAAATGGGCACATTACTATAACCTTGCTGATGCAAAAGTTGGTAAAGATGAGTGGGTATTCAGTTAATGCTCATTTCAAAGTAATGACCTGATGTTTAAAATCTGATCAAAGTTTATAAAAAGCATAGAAATACTACATGAGTGACGTCCTTTCAGGGGTGTGACCAGAGATAAAGACATAAAAATTATTTTCTGTGTTGTTAGCTGGATTCCAGAACATGAATCACCCTTTGGATGGATACCAGTTCTCTACTTCCAACTGAACCCTGTTAAAGGGGAAAAAAATTACAGAATGTAAGCACATGCACATTAAAGGTGAAGCCAAGAAGTAATTACTACCAATGTTCACACCTAAGTGTATGTGTTAAAACAATCAAAGTTATGAAAGAAAACATTATTTTTAATAATAGTAAAAAATACACAATACAAATTATTTATACCTTGGATAGGTGCTATTGTTTTCACTTACATATTTTTATCTACAAGTAAAGATGAGAAGTTGTTGCCAACAGAGTTGCTTAAAATCTTAATGTTACAAAAGTGCTTTGCTCATAAGCAAAACAAAATGAATAATTAAAAAAGTGATTTTATCTGTATTTCTTAATGTTTTTCAGAAAATGATGCTTTACACTGTTAGAAAAATAAATAAAAAACAATATAAGAGCTAAGAAGATTTAGATCTACATGACTTTGTACTAAGTATCAAACGTATGGTGTTAAAAATATCTTTTATTAATGCTACACATGTACTAATATAGGGTGGTACAATAAAAAGCTATCACTTGGATAAATAATATTCTTTAGGCAGATTACTAAAGCAAAATTAATGGCTGTCAAAGACACTAACTACAGGCTGATAATCACCAATACAGGTCACCAGACATGATACACTAAACTTAAAATAACACTTCAGATTCAAATTAAACTGAACACATAATTGTTCATCAAGTCAAGGGTCACAGAGATCAACCCATATACTACCGGTATAGAGCTATGAAATATAGTTAAATATTTAAGTTAAGTGTAATCATACTGGTTTTCAACAGAGCTACTCCTGCTGTTGACTTACAAGATGATGGTCATTTGGAATCAACTATAAGTTACCAATGTAGGATGATACAATAAATTCTGATGGAAACTAAAAATTAAATCAAAGCATAACTGCAATCAAGGTAACTAACTGCCTCATCAAGGTAGTTGGATACCAATATCTGCAGGTTGATGATCACTGGAAGCAAAGCCACCAGTGTGATGCAGTGGATTAGATTAGAAAATCAGATTAATATCTAAATTATAATTAAACATACTAATGGTGTCAAACCATCATTTTCAGTCAATTTACATGTCAGCTGTGGTGCAGTAAATCTAAGTAGATTTTTAAATTAAAATTAAAATCACAGATGCCCTACATGACTACTAATCAAAGGTACTGACCCTTTCAATGCTTTTGGCCACTGGTGTGAGGCAAAACAGTATATTTAAACACAAATTAAGTTGAAGCACAATGATGTCAAGATGATAATCACTGGTGAGCTACAGCTTAAGGTTCATCACATAGATCATCACCATATGGCAGTGCAAATTTAGTCATATATTAAATCGAAGCCATCAACATTGTTAGTCACCAATGACCTACAACTACAGGTCATAAATGTGGGGTAATGCAATAAATTTAGACAGATATTAAAATTGAATCAAAGTACACTATTGGTTAGTGGTGACTTAAGGTTCAGGCCATTCATATAAAGACCGATGTGTACTTTTTTTTTTAAATTGCCTGACTTCTTTGGAAAAAGTTTCAGATTTTCACTTTCTTTTTATGATCATTTTTTATTGCCCTTACTTTCTAGGTGAGTGAACTATGTTGAAGATCACTTGGAGTTAACCAATGAATTACAAAGCATGGACAGCGTAATAAATTAATGCTTCAAAATAGAATCAAAGCACTTCTAAGTGTACTCATCAAAGCTACTGGTCACCGATGACCCACAGGCTAATGATGACTGGAGGTTAACCCATGGGTCACCAGTGTAGAGGAGTGGAGTAAATATGAGCAAGTTTTCAAAAATGAAATTATACACCAAAAGATATAAGCAGCCATCAAATTTATCGGTCAATGGGTCAATACACGTGACTTATTTTGTTATTTACTAGACACATGGTTACTGGCAACAATCCATAAGATTACTGGTATGAGCCAATGCGTAAAATTTAAATAATTTGTTATAATAAAATGAACCCAAAGAACATCAGTCAGAGCTACCAAGGAACACATGGCCATGAAGACTAATCATCATTTATAACCTTAGCAGTGTGAAATAATATACTACTGTAACACTGATAATACCTGCCAGAACAGCAAGATTAGGCAGCATAATGAAAATTTCCATAAAGTTTAGAGAGACTGTGACATTTTCTAATGTCAAAAGACATTTCTAACACCATATATCATGTCAATGAAAAACTTGTAACTCATTTCTAACTATAAGATTAGGCAGCATAAGGAAAATTTCCATAAATTTGAGATAGACTGTGACATTTTCTAATGTCAAAAGACATTTCTAACACCATAAATCATGTCAATGAAAAAACTTGTAATTCATTTCTAACTATACACTACCATCTGCATTAAAAATAAAATCTGAAGATAATAAATTTCATAGCAATATATACATTAAATTTCTCACTATATATTTTGCTACGAATTATATTCCAAAGTTGTAAGATATCCATACACATTCTTGCACTGCTCAAAATCTAATATTACAATTCAGGGATTAAAAATTTACAATAAGCTACCTTTTTTACCCCCTAGGCAATAAAAATAATTTTATTCTCTTCCGCCAACCCAAGCAAGCATAAAAGTATTTCCGTCTGCTGATTCCAGTGATTTTTTTATACATGAAAACAGGACATTACACATCATAAGTCATCCAATGAACCACTTCAAATTGGCAGTATTTTAAAAGGATAGAACCATTATAAAATTCGGCACAAATATTTAATTGCATTCTTTGAAATAAAAAACTGCCCAATGAACTCTTGAAAACAGAAATTTACAAGATGGAAAGTTCTAAAAGAATATTTCAAAAGGTGCAAAAATTTTCCTTTAATTTGTCAAATCAAAGAAGCTAAAAAGTGTATTCTTTTACTTTTTGATTCCAAAAGGAAACTATAATTTTATGCACCAATTAAAAGAAAAACTTTCTATTATATATACAAATAATAAAATGAAAGTCTGCAGAAAATCTTGAAATTTTAAGAAATGTTACAAAAGAAGATATTGATGAAATAGCAGCAGCATAAATCTGTCTAAAACATTTAAACACATGGTAATTTATTTTCTTTACACATGCTGCTACAGTTGATAAATTATTACAGACAACACTTACTTATCTTAAACATGCACTACTTATGTTTTGAAACAAGCAAATTTTTAGAAACTTAGAATGCAAGTTTTTAAATGGATACACAAACCAAAGACAACAACCCATTAAATTTAGATAAATGTACGTAAAACATATCACCAATACTTATTTTCCTGAACAGACTTCTCAAATATTAAGTAAAATTATTAAAAGTGCAGAGAATATTCAAAGAACATCTCGATTTCTAGGCAAAATATGTATGAAAAATATTTGTAAGAAACATCTGAGCTCTGTTCTATATGTAGTGAGCAAAGTTAGTAAAAGGTCAATATATTATCTATTCAAATAATTAAAAAAAACTCCTATTTTAAATTTAAATTAACAACAAAATTAATGTATATGTGTTTGGCAGTATTTAAGATGCAAAAAATATTTCTGGGAAGGAGACAACTCGTCAGCTCTCACGTTCACCGCTTTGGTATGCTTTCTCACAGACTGTATGCAAATCAAAAAAATTCTGAGCTTGAATTTCAACCTGTGTAGGAGGCTTTAAGTTATGACATAAAGCAATACATAAGCCAATATACTAAAAACTTGTAAAATATCGTTTTCTCCAATCTCCCCACCCAAAATGCATTTTTCAAAAGTAAGAATTATACACATTACTGTATCAAAAAAGCTAATTATTTAATTTATTAATCTACTATAATTTCTAAATTTAATATTACAATTTAAGGATTAAAATTAAAAAATAAGTTATATGTTTTAACCCTAGGCAATAAGAATAATTTTAAGTAATACAGTTTACTTACAGTTAATGTGACAAAGCTCTTAAACTTTTTTAAAACATCTACCATCACATCAAATTTCCCATCAGGTACATGATCTTTTAGTACATCAATAAATTCCTAAAATATACAAAATATTACAATTTAAAAGCATATATTTTTTAGTATATCACCAACAATACATCATGAATTTAACACATTCCTTTATAAATACATATACTTTCAAATTCACTATTCATGAAATCAAAGTCCTGAATTATTCAAACTTTTCAAATGAAATCATTATTCAGAAACACTTGCAAAAACTAGGGAGAAGGTAACCATTTTTACAGCATTCAGAAATATTTAAATAAGCTATTTTTTAAAAAAATTAGCATTGCTGTTGAATTTGATAAAACATTAATACAGTAAGACAAATAAGGATAAGTGAATTTACAACCATATAAATGATAAATCAATTTGCACAAATTATTAAAATATTTAATTGCAATTTTCACAACCACGAAATTAAAAACTTATATCCCATTTTAGCATTTTTAATACTGAACTCTAAAAAGCAGATACTTCCCACCTTCTATATATGTGAATCTGAATTAAGCAATCTAAATTTTTCACAGTATTTCAGTTTACACTTAAAGAGGAAAAAAACTGAAGTAGACTTTATTTTGAAGTATGTGAAGGTTCATGTTTCATTTTTTCGGGAAGGAGGCAACAAATTTGTGAGGTCAAATGCTTTTCATCTAGGGCTATGACTAATGTAACATTTGACAAAGTCATCTAATGACTTGTCTTCCTTTCTATAGCTGATAAGCTTATTTATTTTCATTTTTGACTTTTTACTTTACTCATTCTTCATTTTCCATGAAGTAAATTATGTTGTAAACAATTCAATGCTACAGCTACTCTGAATCTTCCCCTTTTCATTGTTATTAATATGAAGGGAAAATTTATCTAATCCATGCATTCATGTCTCTATCTGCAAGATGCTACTCTCATGTCTATTTCTAATGTAATTAAAAATGTTAACACCCAATCCTAAGTATAACTTTTTTTTAACATTTTTAAATTCATAACATTATGACCTGAAGAAACTTGAGCTGACATCATTACAGATTAGTTGATGTTATGTACAGATAAAAAAAAAAAAAAAAAAGAATACTTTCAAATCTTAACTTGTATTCTTTTTTGCATTTATGTCACTATCCACAAGCTGATTTAAGTAGTGCAACACACCACATTTTAAAATACCGAGAGGAAGAAATAACAAAATTTATATTCAAGTGCAAAATGGAGGGAAAATAGATCTGATAAGTATAAATTAATGTATAATATAACAAATAGTATTTACAGAAGCTTGCAACATTATTTTTAGGTATATGCAGGCACTAAAAATACAGACTTTAATTATTATTTTGCTATTTATACAGGAATGCCGAGTATTAATGATGCAACAAATACTATCAATATATACCAAATTTTACATGCATATATTTGACGCACATTTTATCACAGTTCCACTCTCAAAATCCACAAACTTCAAACAACATTCCCAAAAAAAGAATAATTTATATTTTATAGACTATCTAAATTATACTACTATTAATAATAAAGATTATCTGCTTTTGTTAGAACATTAAAAATATCTGCAGAAAACTTATTTGACTTTAATATTAAGGATCTGATACAAATGATGCTTTTTAATAAAAAAAAAAAAAAAAGAAAAAAGAAAAGAAAAGAAAGAAAAAAGAAAAAAGAAAGAAACTTTATTGTAAGGTGGCAAATTTAACTGCCTAACTTTGTGTATCAAATCAATAACAAAAAAACACGGACAGGAAACTATGAAAAAAAAATCAGCAAAAATACCAATGCCTCTTTTCAAATAATATTCAGCATCTCCCATTTCAGATGGTTTTGTAGACAGTAATAATGAATGTATCGAATAAATAACTAAGATACTAACAGAATAATATAACATATGAAAGTTAATCAGCATTCAGATACATGCTGGTATAATAAAATCTTGTTTATTATACCATTGTAAATGAGTTTAAAAAAAAGTTATAAGCCAAGCTATTATAATAAACATTTCATACTATAAATGCATGACAATGCTATTAAGGCTCATACAAACTTACTGGATTTTTCTGTGCTACACATCCAAGTAAAATAGCTATGTATGCAGCAATGATGCTATGCTCCATATGTTTCCCAGCTTTCTGAAGAGCTGAAATATTAATAATGAAAATAAATAAATAAATGAAAACAAGCCTACAGAATTTTTAGACTTTCATTCAGTAATCATAAAAACCTAAAATTTAGAAGGCTTTAGTCCCTGGAAATTTAGAAGGCTTTAGTTTGGATAAAAATTAGATTTTTAAGTCCCCAAAGGATAACAGATTTCACATAATTAAAACACATTTTTTTATGTATTTAAAGGCAGGTGAAACTGCATTTTTACATGGCAAATGAAAGGACCTCAAAGTTCATGAATCACTCACTTTTATTTATCTTTATTTACTTGTTACTGTACGTTTAAGATTAAGATTCACAAAAAAAAAAAAAAAGTCTATATTTTCTTTATTTACACAAACACTTTAAAATAGAGGAAATGCCGTCCACGTGATGACACAGCATTTTTCGATGCACACATTACGCAAAGCACTGTAGCAATAATAAAAGAATACAACACATAAATTAGATACTTGACAGGTTCATTATCATAGCAACCATAATTAAATCATGAAGTGGTAGTGCCATCTATTATTGCCAAGACACATTAGAAATTTGTTTGGTAACAAAAAATATTTAAAAACATAGCCCCCAGCCTTGAAGCCTTCTAAGGATTCAATTAAGACAAATAGTTAAAGCACACATAATAACATTAACAAAAGATTAATTGAAAATTCAATCAAAATTAAAGTCCAATGACATGAGAAAAGTCAATAGAAAGTCAATAGTAATATTGTTCACATTAGTCATGATTGGGGATAATACGCAATTTAGTAGCAGCCCATTTGAAATCACTAGCGGCTATATAGACTGTAGCCACTCGAACTTTTTTGTCGTTGTCTGGATGAATTAAGGCAATTCTTCCAATTTTCCATTGGTTTGGAGGCAGTTGTTCATTTTTGATAAGAACTAAGTCACCGTATTTTATTAGATTTAGAGATGCATAAAACCACTTAGCATGTTGTTGAAGGGTTACTCAATACTCTGTACATCATCATTTCTAAAAATGTTGCTCAGTTTATTGAACTAGACACCAACGTTTAAGTCTTGAAGATTTAACAGCACTCAAGTCAGACTGAGGAATGGCAAGCAAAGGGGCTCCAATCACAAAATGACCTGGAGTCAATGCACTCAAGTCGTTTGGATTACTAGACATTGCACACAGGACAGGAATTCATACACGCTTATCTAAGTAAGCACTGTTAAAAATTCCTCATAAGTTAGAAGTGTGGATCCTAATACTCATTTAAGATGAAATTTCATGGACTTCACATTAGATTCCCACAGGCCACCGACGAGAGGGATAAATAACTAAGGTATACCTTCTGAGGAATAAATACCTTCTGAGGACGGATTTGTCGGAGGATTAAATAACTAAGTTATACCTTCTGAGGTAATGTAGTTACATACTTCATTGCTTTTCTTGATGCAAGCTGCATTTCTATAAACCTCTTTCAGTTCCTTACTAGCACCTTTGAAGTTAGTCGTAGAGTCACTTGAAATTTCAGATGGTTTGCCTCACCGGGCAATAAATCTTTTTAGAACTGCTAAAAATGTTGAAGTTGATAGATCACAGACTAACTCTTTTGTTGAGACACACACAAAAATGGATACATAACCCTTGGAAGTTTTAGCTTTTCTCCCAACTTAGGACTGAATATGGACCAGCATAATCAACACTGGTAACTGCAAAAGGTCTTGATGGTTGAATTCTGGGCGAGGGTAAATCACCTATTATCCGGGTCACAGTCTTGCTTCGATTTCTAATACAAGAAATATATCTGTTAATTATCTTTATCATTACACTTCTCACCGAAGGAATCCAAAACTGATAATAACTCTTGACTGGCATGCAAATAATTGACATGATAATGAGTCACGATGAGATTAGTGACATGTCCTTCCTTTGGAAACAAAATATGATGTTTGCTATTTTCAGGAACGTTTGCATTTTTTAAGTGACCACCTACTCGAATGATGCCTTCTTCATCAAGGAATTGTATTACTCGACTGCTCACACTTTTTAATTCTCTCGACTTTTTTAAACAAAAGAGCTCTTGAGGAAAATAAGATTCTTGGAAGAAATTTTTTTATAACTGTTTTTGTAGCTAATCTATGCTCGTCAGTTGTCAGAAAACCTCTCAAATGATTTTCAGAGGAGTTTCGACAGTTGTAAATGAATCTAAGGTACAAAGCAACTATACGATGTAATTTTGACCAAGATGAATACTGTTTAAAAATGTAATTTTCCTTTGCTGTACAAGATACTGAAATGCATGTTTTTCTTTCTTCTCTACGAACTCCTTCATAATCTACATCAGCACAATGATGTTCACTGTCAGGATATGTTTTGAAACCTAGTGAATACAACAAAGCAGGTCCCAGGAACCATCGCTCACAATTCAGAAATTCAGCTGGAAACATTCCTCTTGTACCTGAATCAGCTGGGTTCAGCTTTTCATCGGTATGGTTCCACCACATTAGGAATTGTGTTCCATATTTTGGCAATGCGGTTTGTGACAAATGGAACCCAACGATGTGGTTCTGAAGAAATCCAGGACAGTACAAAAAGTTGAATTTGTCCGGGCCAAAACATTAGATATAGGAAACTCTAAATGCTCTAACACTGATTTAAGTAATTCCACTAACAAAACTGCGGCACATAACTCTAATCGAGGTAGTGATTGCCCATTCAGAGGAGCAACTCTTGTTTTTGATGTTAAGAGTGAAATGTTGATCTCCAAATTATGTGTTACTGAACGCAAATAAATTGCCTTCCTCAGAGGAATCACAAAAAGCAGAAATATCAATACATTTTACGTCAGGAATCAAAACAAATCTCAGTATTTTTAATTGTTGAATAAGATGTAAATCTTTTCAGAAACTCTTCCATTTGTTAGCAGTCTCATAACTAACAGGCTCATCCCACAATACATGGAGCTTCCACATGATTTTGACATAAATAATACAAGGAGCAAGCCAACCCAATAAGTCAAATACTTTCGCTAAATGAGAAAGCATTTAGTGTATTTAAACTTTTCTCCAGAAATGGACATGGAAACGTTAAAGTAGTCTTCTCGGGGGTTCCAATTAATTCCTAAAACTTTCATTGAGCTATCATCTTGAATTTTCATTGCCTCAGAATCATTTCTCAACTCTTTGGGTATATTCTCTAACACTGATAAGTCATTGGATGACCATTTACGCAGTTCTAACATTCGCAACAGTTGATTTACTAGAGTTTTACACTCTTCAGTGTTTTGAACACCTACCAAACAATCATTTACAAAAAAATTTTGAAGTACATCCTTCGCAGCTAACGGATAGCTATTCTGCTCATCGTAGGCAAGTTGGTATAAAAAGCAAGTAGCTAAATATGGAGTGGTGGCAGTGCCATATGTGACAGTATTAAGTCAAAATTCTTGAACAGGATCACTTGGATTATCCCTCCAAAATATCCTTTGAAAGTTTCTATCCTTTTCATTCACTAAAATTTGTCTAAACATTTTCATAATATCAACTGTGACAGCTATTGGGTAACATCTGAATTTTAGCAAAACTGGAGAGAACTCTTTTTGTATTCTAGGACTTGTCATCAATATATCATTAAGAGATAGTCCTGATGAGGACTTACTAGTAGCATTAAAAATCACACATATTTTGCTCAAAGAGCTAGATTTTTTAATTATTGCATGATGTGGCATGTAGTAAGCCTGAGTTGGGGACTCTATACTACAAACTGGTTCCATGTGACCGAGATCCAAGTATTCCTTCATGAATTGTTTATACATCTCGTTTGTATCAGGGAATCTTAAGAGATTTCTCTCTAAAGATTTAAATCTTTGTAAAGCAAGATTGATAGAATTACCCAACTTTGAAGGGTTACCTTTAAATGGAAGCTTCATGATATAACAACCATTTTGATCACGGACGTGTGTTGTTTTAAAGAATTCTTCATATTCTTGATCTTCACTAGAGATACGTTTGACTTCAGGAATTCAACTAATTCGTTTGTATTCAACTGATGATTATCCACTGTATAAGTGGGAGTTAGATTTGAATCATCAGTAATAGTGTTCCCGGATATGATCCAATCCAACTGAGAACAAATTGCAAAGAGTAATGATTGTCTTCTCTTTATGATATCTCCCTTAAGAATTATATTAATTTTATTAGATCTAAATGTAAAAAATACATTTAGATCTAATAAAATATCAAAGAGTTTTCTTTCTTAGAACATAAGATCAGCCAAGACTAGATCATCAAAATGATTCACAACTTTTGAAGGAAGTGACATATTAGACACATCTGAAGTTATCTTTGGAATCACGGATGCATATGTTCGAAATGTAGATTTTGATTCGAATTCTACATTTCGAAGTTTCTACATTTAAGTTTAAAGAACTACCTTATTTGTGAAGAGAATGATTTTCCTTGCACGTTATGCAACTGTTTTTGCACGACACTAAAGAAGTTACTTTGGAATTAGAAAGTTTCTTAAAATCTTTAGACTGATTTCTACGATTCTGAAAGGTTCTAGCGCTGTCATTTAGAAGCTCGAGTAAATTATCTAAAGTACCTCACTCATCTTTTTTCAAAGTTCTTTCCCACCAAATTTTTATGTTTTTATCTAATTTCTCAGTTATCAGATAACCCTCCCCCCCCAAAAAAAAGAAACATCACAAAGATCAGAAACTTCTAGCTTAAGAGTTCTCAAGGAACATACACATTCATTCACTACATCAACACAATGTAAAACAGTTTGAGCTAAATCAGAAGCATTTGGCAAATTAAACATTTTATGGATTATTGCATTAGTTAATTCTCTTTTATTGAGCAACGTTTCTGTAAAAGTTGCAACGTGATATCATAATTAGCATCAGAAACTGAAACAGACTCAATAACAGACAGAGCCTTTTTTCACAAGAAGCCTTTAAATATTGCTACTTCTGACATTTAGAAATATTTGGAATTATAAAAACTAATCCATTCTTT